TCCTAGCCGCAGCGCTCCGCCCAGAAAGTGTCTTAACCTAACCAAACCCTAAACAACAAAAAAAATAATAATAAATTTGCTGAAAAATAAATGGTCATGTACAAAATTGATAGGAGGTGGGGGGGGGTCCAAAAATCGTATACTAGGAAATTACCTATGGGGGTTCTAGTCTTTAACTTTTTGAGCAATTCCATGGTTTTAGAACAACACCATTGGAGTATACAAGTTGTAATTCGATTTAAACGTTAAAATATCAATAGATCACAAAAAATCAGTATTTCGGAAATGGTATGCAATAGAAATAATGCTTGATTTAAACGCGTAACACTGTAAAACTTTAAAACAAAACTTCAATAAGTTTTATTAGAGATTGACTGATATAGATTAGAGATTGATTAGAGATTGACTGAATATTGGTTAGCGATTAGGAACATTTTAAGAAACAAATTAATTGTAAAAAAAGAAAGACACAAAAAAGATTATAGGTAATTTCCTAGAGAACGATTTTTTTTGGGAGAGTCCAAAAATCGTTCTCTAGGACGGTCCCAGATTATTGAAAAGGAAAAGAAAATTACAATTAAGAGTAAAGCAATTAGAAAACCCGGATATCAGAAGCGACATTTTATTTTTACTCCGTTGAGAGGTTTGCCTGACTAGCATATAAAGTTTTTTTACAAAATTCAATTAAGAACAGTATAACATAAGAAAAAAATTGACTGATTGTTGAGTAGAAAAATTCGAAATAATAAATCGATTAAAAACAGAATAGTAGATGTAACATTGGGTATTGATTGAGCCCATGAGATCAGACAATAAGACCAGTATTCTGTCTAGACATGTTTAAACCAGAATTGCGCACATATTACGCATATCTATATTCGGTTATTAACACATCAAAAAATCAACTTCATAATTTTTTGTTAATATGACTCGCCAAATTTCTCCGGAATTTTGTTTCTTCATTTTTATAATCATTCCATTTTTTTAATTCAAGATCCTCATGCTACTGAAAACTTAGACAATAACTGGCAAAGTTCCCCTTCTCAACAAAAAAAGGGGGGGGGGGTAATGAGTTCGCAAGAAAATATTTATATCCCTAATTATCCATGAATTATTTTTAGGCGGGAAGTGGAAGGTTGCACGTGATAGGTTAAATATCCAAGATGGCGGATCTTGTCTAACATATAAGATCCATGTACAAAATTGATAGGGGGAGGGGGGGGGGGTCCTGGAGGGGGTCCAAAAATCGTTCTCTAGGAAATTCCCAACCATCGAAATTATTCTTAATCAGTCGACGCTACCGAGGGTACCGTTGTGAATAGAGCATTGACATCTTAACACGAAGAATTACTTAAAATATCCCATACAGCCCCTCTTAGGGGCTTGCCTTTAGATGCACATAGAAATAAACTTTTAATTAATCAATCACTTGTCCCTTTGAAGTCAGTTCTATATTATTTTTGCTTATCTCCAAGCTTTAACTCCAGAATACGCACTTACTAAAAGGAAAACCTAATATTTTCTAGATACACATTTTATATAAGCCTTTAACAATTTTTTGAATTATTCAGTCTTCTTGAATTTTCTGATTAGTACCGCGAAAATAGTAATTTAGAGTTAAACACGATATAATATGATTTGAGACACTCTGTAATACAAAACTAACCAATAAGCCCAGAGATTGAGGAAGAAATTGAATTGATTTCAGCTCGATGAGCATGCTGAACTACACACACAGGTTCAGCTTCTTGATCCATGTCAACAACTTCCGTTCTTGACAAACATTGCATAATATTCTACAAAAAAATATAGTTAAAATTTTGTTAATATTTAGATGCACAATGGATACAAATTATAAAAAAAACACGAAATTTCTTTTTTCATTTGCTTTTTTGTTGTTAAATGTATTCGGTGGGCAATATTTTAAACATTTTCACTTTTTACCTTTAAACTAAAGATGATCCCTCCGTGAGTGTACACTTTGTAAACTTGTTTTCTATTGGAGGATTTATTCCAGGGACAAGTTGTTTCGCGGACATTCTTGGGAGACGAGACTATTCTTTTTTCATCAAAACTGATTTTAATCTTAATTTTATATATTTTTAATTTTAATTTTGTTAAATTTAACTTTTTTGTTGCCGTACTTTGTGGGTATAAATGTCAATTATCACAATTTTTTTATAAATATAGTGAAGTATGCCCTCTAAAATGTATATCCGAACTCATCTGTCAAAAATGTGACCAATGAGAACTCGCCTTACTGTGGACTTTAATATAAATTCAACTAGAGACATCTATCGATAATTTTTGCTAAATTTAATTTTTATGTCTGTAATCAGCTTCTTGTTTAAAGTAAATGGTTCTGCAGCCCTGTGGCTGCACAACCATTTATGTTTGACACTTATTAAATGTTTAAGTTCGTTTATTTCATTTTTATCGAACTTTAACATGGAAATTAAGAGATTAATAATAACATTTGCACAACTCACGATCTAAAATTATTTATTTATTTGTTATAGAATCAAAATGACTTAGCGAACGAGGGCTCTTGAGTATGTATGAGACGTCTCTTCTTTCATTTATTTAGGTAGATTCAAGAAATGTTATTTTTCATAAACAGAGATATGTGTTTAAGATCAAGAGGGNGAACACTATTCAGTGTTCATTGTTCATACATTTCTCATACTGAACACTGTTCAATGTTTTTACATTACTCAGACACTAGACAGTATACTGAACACTATTCAGTGTTCATTGTTCATACATTTCTCATACTGAACACTGTTCAATGTTTTTACATTACTCAGACACTAGACAGTATACTGAACACTATTCAGTGTTCATTGTTCATACATTTCTCATACTGAACACTGTTCAATGTTTTTACATTACTCAGACACTAGACAGTATACTGAACACTATTCAGTGTTCATTGTTCATACATTTCTCATACTGAACACTGTTCAATGTTTTTACATTACTCAGACACTAGACAGTATACTGAACACTATTCAGTGTTCATTGTTCATACATTTCTCATACTGAACACTGTTCAATGTTTTTACATTACTCAGACACTAGACAGTATACTGAACACTATTCAGTGTTCATTGTTCATACATTTCTCATACTGAACACTGTTCAATGTTTTTACATTACTCAGACACTAGACAGTATACTGAACACTATTCAGTGTTCATTGTTCATACATTTCTCATACTGAACACTGTTCAATGTTTTTACATTACTCAGACACTAGACAGTATACTGAACACTATTCAGTGTTCATTGTTCATACATTTCTCATACTGAACACTGTTCAATGTTTTTACATTACTCAGACACTAGACAGTATACTGAACACTGTTAGTTCATACATAAGTCATTAATTACTAATACTAAAAACTATTAATAAATTACATCATTACCTTATAAACATATATTGTTAATAAACATAAGCACTTATCATAAACACGACATCCTGAGCCCAAAACTTAAGACAGGGTATCGTTCTGAAAACCAGTTTTATAACCCGGGTTTCACGAATGGGGTTAGGCAGTTTTGTAAAAAATCAATATTTTTGTTATTAAATATTATTTTATTCAGTTTGTTCATATTCTCAATTTTTTTCGAATCTCTTAAATCAAAATCTACACAAATGTTAAGTTCCCAAAAAGGAAACTCGGGAGTTTTGTCCAACGATACTCTTTTAAATTTCGGGCTCTGTACTAAAGTGTATTGCAAGACACCTTGTATAGAAGTTAATTCAAAAACACCCTGTATAATAGTGTATAGGAGTGTATTCAATAAAGACACAGGTATAATAGTGTATAGAAGTATATTCTAAGACACCCTTTATAGAAGTATATTCCGAGACACCCTGTGTAGAAGTATATTCTAAGACACCCTGTATAGAAGTGTATTCCAAGACACCCTGTTCAGTAGTATATTCCAAGACACCCTGTACAGTAGTATATTCCAAGACACCCTGTATATACGTGTATTCCAAGACACCCTGTATAGACGTGTATTCCAAGACACCCTGTACGGTAGTATATTCCAAGACACCCTGCATAGACGTGTATTCCAAGACACCCTGTATAGACGTGTATTCCAAGACACCCTGTATAGAAGTGTATTCCAAGACACCCTGTATAGAAGTGTATTTCAAGACACTCTGTATAGACGTGTATTCCAAGACACCCTGTATAGAAGTGTATTCCAAGACACCCTGTATAGAAGTGTATTCCAAGACACCCTGTATAGAAGTGTATTCCAAGACAGCCTGTATAGAAGTGTATTCCAAGACACCCTGTATAAAAGTGTACTCCAAGACACCCTGTACAGTAGTTTATTCCAAGACACCCTGTATAGAAGTGTATTCCAAGACACCCTGTATAGATGTGTATTTCAAGACACCCTTTATAGACGTGTATTCCAAGACACCCTGTACTGAAGTAAGTTATGAATGTTCAACAGGAGAAATATCATTCGATAAAATATTCAACCAGAGGCTGGGGTACTTACTCTTTAAGGTAGATATTCATTCATACATTTATTCATTCATTCATTCATTCATTTATTCATTCATTTATTCATTCATACATTTATTCATTCATACATTTATTCATTCATTCATTCATTCATTTATTCATTTATTTATTCATTCATTATTTATTCATCCTCTCATTCATTTATTCATTCATTTATTCATTAATTCATTCATTCATTTTATTGATTCATTACTTCATTGATTCATTTATTTATTTATTCATTTATTCATTTATTCATTTATTCATTTATTCATTTATTCATTTATTCATTTATTCATTTATTCATTTATTCATTTATTCATTTATTCATACATTTATTCATTCATACATTTATTCATTCATTCATTCATTCATTTATTCATTTATTTATTCATTCATTATTTATTCATCCTCTCATTCATTTATTCATTCATTTATTCATTAATTCATTCATTCATTTTATTGATTCATTACTTCATTGATTCATTTATTCATTTATTCATTTATTCATTTATTCATTTATTCATTTATTCATTTATTCATTTATTCATTTATTCATTTATTCATTTATTCATTATAAAGTTTTTTGATTCCCACAATTTCTGTAGTAAAAGATCCGCCTCTAACTTGTAGAGAGAAACCACATTAAAAAATAACCTGTTTTAGAAGAGAAAAGTCATGAATAATTTTCTTGATCAGACAAAGGTTAAAGGGTACCATTGTGAATCGGACATGCCATACATTAATGGAGGTTTACTGGAATTTGTCTATAGTTCATTCAAGTTTATAATTTTCTCAAAAATACGTAAATATTTTCTTAAAATTTTACTTTTGATTTAACCAAATAGAAGCCAATTAGTTTCCCAATTAAGTTGATTAATTAAATTAATTTATCGACTAATTTGTACTGAGGTTTAAACCACTAATTAAAGATGGTTCAGTATTATATAGAACAGTAATAGCTTTTGGTAAAGTTGAGATATTTGAGACATTTTCAAGTAATCAAGGGAGCCAAAATGTTGCGGATCCAGATCAAGGGAGCCAAAATGTTAGGGATCCAGATCAAGGGAGCCAAAATTTTACGGACCCAGATCATATGAGCCAAAATGTTTTGGATCCGGATCAGGGTAGCAAGGATAATATGGATTTGGGATCAAGGGAGCTAAGATATCATGGATAATGGGACCTTAAATAACACGGATCCGGATCAAGGGAGGCTCAATGTTGTGGATCCGAATCTAAAGCGCCACAATGTTGTGGATTCGGATCTAGAGATCCTCAATGTTGTGGATCCGTATTTAGAGGCATCAATGTTGTGGATCCGTATTTAGGGAGCCTCAATGTTGTGGATCCGGGTTTAGGGTGCCTCAATGTTGTGGATTCGGATTTAGGGAGCCTCAATGTTGTGGATCCGGGTTTAGGGAGCCTCAATGTAATGGATCCGGATCCCTTGCATAGAAAATGTTTCCCTAAAATAGGATTTAGTAAAGTTCTGAAAATTATTCCAAGAAAAGATTTTCATCAAGATTATCTTATTTTTTCTCTTCTGAATTTTTGCTCAAATCATCCTATTTTTTATCCTAAAAGATAAAAAATTAACAAAAAATGTTGTGCTTTATAAAATACTATTTAGACAAGAGTTGCACAAAACAAATCCCCCCCCCCCCCCCCCCCCCCC